CCCCCGCCTCGCCCCCCCACAAAGCCATCTTTCTTCCCTGTAGGGGCGAAAGGCCGCCCACCCCGCCATCCTGGCATTCCTTTCAAGCAGCTGCCCGTCGGCTCCCCGGAGCTCCCCACTCCTCTCCACGCTGTCCCCGCCACCCCGCACCGGCGTCCCAGCTAGGATGGAGCGGGAGCAGAGTCCAAGCTTCTGCCTAGGATGCGGGAAACCTTTGCCACCCGCTGCAGACTCCTCTGTAGATGGGTCTTCAATTCCCAGCTCCCCACTTCAAATGGTACTGGACGCCTCTTCCCGGCCCTGGGAGGCTAGGACCCTGTTCCGAGGCAGCCCCTCCCGTCGCTAGCCCCTCTTCTAGGGTCCAGAGTGGGCGAGGTGGGGTGGGGATTGCGGCGTGAGCGAACCCAGCGCCAGGGGGCGGCCGGCGCCCGCAGATCGGGCAGCGGGTTGCGGCTGGGCCTGAGGCCCGGGCACCACACTGGCCGCCAGACAGCAAGGCCGGGCGCCCACTCGGGACCTAGCGGCAGGCGCAACCGGTCGAGCGCCCCCGCATCTCGCACCGCGCCCTGGCTCCCCCTCGCGGTGCCGCAGTCCCAGCCGCGCCGCTCGCGCGGGCGCAGCCCCGCCTATCATGACGTCACCTGGTAGGGCGGGTCCCCGGTTATAAAAGGTGGAGCTGGGGGGCGGCGGCAGGTCTCTGCGCAGCCGAGCCCGCCGGTCCACGCCGCGCACCGCTCCGAGGGCCAGCGCCACCCGCTCCGCAGCCGGCACCATGCGCGAGATCGTGCACATCCAGGCGGGCCAGTGCGGCAACCAGATCGGCGCCAAGGTGGGCGCGCCGCCGGGAAGGGCCCGGGCTGGGGACGGAGGGTGCGGGCTGGTGCGGGCTGGGGCGGGGGCGGGGGCGAGGGTGGGAAGCCTCGGCGGCCCGGGGCTGGCGGTGTGGTACAGTACATTCTGCGGAGAGGCGGGCGGGCAAGGCGGGGGAGGCTGCACGACCCGCCAGGATGCCCGCGGCCCCGCAGCTGTGTGTCTTTAGTCGGCGCCGTTTGGATTTCCCTGGGACACAGCCCTTCTGCGGGACGCAGTTGGCATTCCTCTGGGTGTATTAGTCTCAGAAACTTGGGGCGAGGTTATGGTCATATTTATTCTGCTAGCTTCATGAGAAATTTAATTTGTACATTTTTCTCAGCGGTTTGAATGAAAACATGCAGTGTCACTGGACTGACAGGTGTAACAGAAGCTTCCCTTTGGGTCACACAGGCGAGGGTGTTAGATAAATTCCCTTGCTCCGGCACTGTCTAGACATGAAGACTTAACGCGATAGTCTTGCTGCCAGTCCCTGAGGTGGCAGGTGACTGTGCTGGGTGGGGGCTGCAATAACCGACCGCTGTGTGGGAGGCAGCAGCCGGCCTGCTGCATGGGTGGGGGCGGGTGCCTGTACAAGGACGTGGTCTCTTTGAGAACCGCCATGTTGCCCACCCTGCCTCCCCGCCCCCTCCCTTTCGCAAATTCACAATGGAACCAGCGCCCTCACCATGGCCAGCTCCTTCCACTGCCGCCCAGGCGCCCTCCCAGGCTCCTGCTGCCCTTCCCCGCCCAGTCTCTCCTGTGGTCAGTGCCAGCATGCAGATCGGTGGCTTAAACCTGCGCTCTTGCAGGGGTGCCTGGGATCTGTGCCAAGAGAGCTTGATTCCTGGAGGCAGCCACAGTGTGGGTCGCCCTGTCCTCAGTCCTGCCAAGACCCATCAGTCATCCCCGATGCAATGGCATTCAGCCCTGCCTGGGGTGACAGAGCCTCCCTGTACCCCTTTCCCACCTCTCTACCCTCCTGACCCTCTCTCTAGAAGGACATCTGCTGTGCCCCCTCCTCCTCCAGGGCCCCTCCCAGCCTTTCAGTCTATCGCCCTAATATGGCCGATGCTCTGCGGATTTTCAAGCCCCTCAGCAGCGGCTGCTGCAGGAAATAGAAGGTGCAGCTCTTTGCTCTCTGTCTAGCACTTACTAACTGATCACAAAAGCCCCTGTTCCAAGGACATGGGAGGAGGACAAGGCCATCCTTAGTGACATTCAGGATGCTGGGCTATGGTGTGTTTTTTTTTTTCATTCCAGTTTTGGGAGGTCATCAGCGATGAGCATGGGATCGACCCCACAGGCAGTTACCATGGAGACAGTGATTTGCAGCTGGAGAGAATCAACGTGTACTACAATGAGGCTGCTGGTGAGTAGCGGGATGTGTTAGCAAGAAGATTCCTTCTTCCTAACAGGAATCCTTGCTTCCCATGCTGTGGGAGATGAAACGTCCTAGGAACATGCACATGACAAAGGCATGCTTCTTGCATATTCATTTCAAATGCCAGCTGCTGGAAAAACACACTTCATGGTGCCCTGAGACTCCTGCCTGTTTGCCACGGCTAAGCACACTCAAGACCTCCTTTTTCTGAAAAGCAGAGAACCTCCTGTTCTCCTTTTGTCTCAGATGCTGGAGTTGTCTCTAATGAACTCTGCTGTGAGTCCCTCCCCAAGTACAGGTCTGAGTCAGTTCCTGTTCCCCGCAGGTAACAAATACGTACCTCGGGCCATCCTGGTGGATCTGGAGCCTGGCACCATGGACTCCGTCAGGTCTGGACCCTTCGGCCAGATCTTCAGGCCAGACAACTTCGTGTTCGGTATGTAGTCACGATCACTGGGAACTGGCCAAATGCCACACCTTCTTCCTCACAGCCCTGCAAAGCACAGTTCTTAGTGTTCAGTGCCAAGGTGACACTGTGCCCACGGGCAGCCCTGAGTCCTGGCCTAGTTCCACCCAGTCCACGGGCGGTCATGGCTCCGAGATCAACACCAGCCTGCAGAGGGCTGCTGCAGCCCTCCCATTACAGAGCAGCCTCAGACTGGAAGAAGAAAGAGCAAGGAAAAGCTTCAAGCCAGGTTTCATAGGCTATAGGCAACTTCAAAGGACTTCAAAGAGCCAGGGGCCCCAAGCACAGGTTATGACCGGAGCTTAGACAGATGCTGAGGCCACCTTCTCTCCTGGTCACACTGCCTTCGCCTTGCCTGTTTAATTGTCCTTGAATATAAAGAGAATGCCTGTTTCAAATGTATGTGTTTCAGAACTGTGGCCGGGCAAGGTGGTTCACACTTGTAATCTCACCACTTTGGTGGGAGGCCAAGGCAGGCAGATCAGGTCAGGAGTTCAAGACCAGCCTGGCCAACATGGTGAAACCCTGTCTCTACTAGAGATACAAAAAATTAGCCAGGTGTGATGGTATGCACCTGTAATCTCAGCTACTCAGGAGACTGAGGCAGGAGAACTGCTTGAACCCAGGAGGTGGAGGTCATTTGACATTGCGCCATTGCACGTCAGCCTGGGCAACAGGGTGAGGCTCCATCTCAAAAAAAAAAAAAAAAAAAAAAAATGTATTTCTGAACCGACTAAGTTTTCTAACCCTATCCTCTTCCTCAATCAATAGCCTCAGATGAGCTAAACTTGCTTCTTTATTATGATCTCATGTTTTTGAGGGTCACAGACATAGAAGAATATTTCTTCAGGTAATAGAAGAGTTTTCAAAAGAGAACAATCTGCCAGTGTAAGACCAGTCCTACCTTCTTCATAGTCAAAATGACAGATTTTGAAATTCCTTATATCTTAGTGTCTAATGGTCACTTTCCCTCTGGCAGGCCAGAGCGGAGCTGGGAATAACTGGGCCAAGGGCCACTACACAGAGGGAGCCGAGCTGGTCGACTCGGTCCTGGACGTGGTGAGGAAGGAGTCAGAGAGCTGTGACTGTCTCCAGGGCTTTCAGCTGACCCACTCTCTGGGGGGCGGTACGGGGTCCGGGATGGGCACCCTGCTCATCAGCAAGATCCGGGAGGAGTACCCAGACCGCATCATGAACACCTTCAGCGTCATGCCCTCACCCAAGGTGTCAGACACGGTGGTGGAGCCCTATAACGCCACCCTCTCCGTCCACCAGCTGGTGGAAAACACAGATGAAACCTACTCCATTGATAATGAGGCCCTGTACGACATCTGCTTCCGCACCCTGAAGCTGACCACCCCCACCTACGGGGACCTCAACCACCTGGTGTCGGCCACCATGAGCGGGGTCACCACCTGCCTGCGCTTCCCCGGCCAGCTGAACGCAGACCTGCGCAAGCTGGCGGTGAACATGGTGCCCTTCCCACGCCTGCACTTCTTCATGCCGGGCTTCGCGCCCCTGACCAGCCGGGGCAGCCAGCAGTACCGCGCGCTCACGGTGCCCGAGCTCACCCAGCAGATGTTCGACTCCAAGAACATGATGGCCGCCTGCGACCCGCGCCACGGCCGCTACCTGACGGTGGCTGCCATCTTCCGGGGCCGCATGTCCATGAAGGAGGTGGACGAGCAGATGCTCAACGTGCAGAACAAGAACAGCAGCTACTTCGTGGAGTGGATCCCCAACAACGTGAAGACGGCCGTGTGCGACATCCCGCCCCGCGGCCTGAAGATGTCGGCCACCTTCATCGGCAACAGCACCGCCATCCAGGAGCTGTTCAAGCGCATCTCGGAGCAGTTCACGGCCATGTTCCGGCGCAAGGCCTTCCTGCACTGGTACACGGGCGAGGGCATGGACGAGATGGAGTTCACCGAGGCCGAGAGCAACATGAACGACCTGGTGTCTGAGTACCAGCAGTACCAGGACGCCACGGCCGACGAACAAGGGGAGTTCGAGGAGGAGGAGGGCGAGGACGAGGCTTAAAAACTTCTCAAATCAATCGTGCATCCTTAGTGAACATCTGTTGTCCTCAAGCATGGTCTTTCTACTTGTAAACTATGGTGCTCAGTTTTGCCTCTGTTAGAAATTCACACAGTTGATGTAATAATGTGGAATTCCTCTAAAAATTACAGAATTGTCTGTGAAGGTATCTATACTAATAAAAAAGCATGTGTATAAAACCTAATGGTCTCTGTTCTCACTTCACATAATTTTCATTCTTTCTCTAAATGCTTAAGCATAATGTTTCAAGGTTTAACTTGTTACTGTTTTTATTGTGGTACTTAATGTTTAATTTTAATAGCAATGTAGGATTTCTGGTTTACTGTTTTAATTAATAACATTCCTGCCCTTTTAGTACAGAGCAATGAAAATATACATTTTGTTCACCTTTACTGGTCCAAAGTATTAATCTCTCAAAAGTGAACCAGGAGTAAAGAGGGATATGAGGACAGGGCAAACCTGCCCTACTGGCTGCTGTTCTCGGACATCCTGTGATCTTACAGTTGAAGAACTCAGGCATGGATTTTCCCTACTTTTCTTTGACTGTGGTAGAGAAACACAAAAACACGAGTGAGGCTTGAATGTCTCAGATTAAAGGTACAGTATAAATTCAAGATTTCTTAAAATCTCCAACATTAACACTACAAATGTTCCACCTAAAATTTATTTGAAAGTAAATTATGTCAGGAATCTACCTTTTAAGACAATGGTATAACTTGTCACAACTTCATGTTAGAAAACCAGACTTAATTTTCATAGCTATTGAAGTCAGAGGCTTTATTCCATTTTTTTTTTTTTTTTTTTTTTTTACTCTGTTGCCCAGGCTGTAGTGCAGTGATGCAATCACAGCTCATTGTAGCTTTGAAGTGGGTTCAAGTGATCCTTCCACCTCAGCTTCCTGAGCAGCTGGGACCACAGGTGTGTCCCACTTTGCCTGGCTAATTAAAAAAAAAATTTTTTTTTTTGTAGAGCCAGCGTCTCCCTATGTGGTACAAGCTGGTCTTGAACTCCTGGACTCAAGCAATGCTCCTCCCACCCCAGCCTCCCAGAGTGCTGAGATGGTAGCCGTGAGCCACCGCCCGAAGCCAGAGGCTGTTTTCAACATGTCATTATTCTCATTTGGTCAGGATAAGACTGAAGGGAGGGGTAGAAAGCTCAGGTGGAGAGTTTCAAAGGCATCATGGTAACGGGGAGCAACACGATCACACCCCACACTGAGGAACCACCAAGACTCAAGTGTGCATTCTTATTGTAGGAAGTCTTCTGCTAATTTGTTGAATTCATCTGCAAAACGCAAATGCAGGTTGTGTTTGCCTTCTGGCATCAAATGCAGCCTAAAAAAGGGGGAGAAAAAGGCTTTGAATCAATAGGACAGACACCATTTAAGAACAAACCCCTCACTCTCCCCAACATTCATGAACATCTAAAGTGAAAAATTCCCACATTTCCCCCCATGACCACTATCCAGGAGAAAATGTAACCTATCAACCTAAGAATATAGACAAACATGAAGCTCTTGGAGTTTATGACTACCCTGGAGGTTGACTATAAGGCAATGACTTAACAGTAACAGACACACATTATAGTTGGAATTGAATCAAGTAACAAATGGTTTGACTGGAAAACAGCCTGAGAATGGGGGAGGTGATTTGGTGGTTACTCTAGAAAGATCCATTTTAATGAAGTTGATTTTAAGAAAGAAGGTTGGTAAGATGATAAAAATAAGTGTCCAGAATGCACGGCGCTGGGGCCGGTGAGTGGGTGTCCATGTAGTGGGCAAGTGCAAAGTAGAATTCACAGCCGCCCCCAGCCTGCTGCTCCAGGTTCCAAATCACCCTTCCATTTTTGGATTACTGAACTAATACATCTGAATACAAGCCGCCAGACACATGGCTGTGAGGATGGTGAGCCCACACCAGCCGCTCTGTGCTCCAGGAGCCGTTGCTGCAGCTGTCACGGCTCAGTGTTGTGGCAAACGAACTGTCCTCGTAAGGCTTCTTCCTTTCAATAGCATTGTGATCAAATGGGACAGGTTTACAGTTTCTTGAATAACGGCAGCCTTCTCTTTGTTCTATATTTTACTTATTAGCTACAAAAATATACAAACACTGAAAGTGTTAAAGTTTCTAGGATGAAAGTTTAAGTTCAAGCCGCCTTGTCTACAATGACAACTAGACATTAAAAGGACAATATTGGGGCAGAATGCGTATACCACGTTGCCTGAATTTTTGATTTTCATTACTGGGGGGCTGACAGCTCAGAACCTCAGTAGGCGAGGTTCTGTGGGGGCAGGGAGCTGTCCTCGGAAGATATTGGGACTCTTTCAACTCAGCTACCACACTGGGGTTGGGAATGGGGTACCAAGAGAATCAACTTGAAAGGAAGATATATTGTTGGGACCTTTCCGAGGGCCTTGGAAAATTAAGGCTATAACTAACAACCAGAACATTCTAAATTCAATTTTAACACTATCCAGAAAAGAAGGATGAGTTGCACCCACCCCAAAGATAGGATCCCAGTTGCCTACACAATAGGACTTGCAGGGACACTCAAGGCCTTTGTTTTCAGAAAACAGAAACGAACCAATTGCCAAGGATGCTGAGAGGTCACAGGTTACGTCTAGGCTAAACTGCATCCCTTAATCTGCACAAACCTGGAGGGAGGCAGGGAATCCTCAGCCTGCCACACGTGAGGCCCTCCTCTGTAGATAGCCCATCTGGCTATGATTTGCTGGTTTCCCATAAGGAAGGAGGCCCTCGCTGTAAATCCTTTCTTTTTAGCCTTTCGGCACTGTCTGCACTCTTCCTAAAGTAATCTTTAGATCTCAGGGAAATAAAAATTAGCTTCCCTTCATTAAAATATGGGAAACCTGCTCTGAATGCTGGATGGATAAATGGACAGATGGATAGACAGAAGAGACTCTGAAGACAACTGTTCTTGGTATCTTTAGAGGGTCATTTCAAGCTCCTTAGCACCTCCTCCAGGTGTGACACAGGTTTCACTGCACTGAAAAATCTATTGTGCGTTCCTCTTTGGGAACAGGACCACAATAGACAGGCATGAGTATTAGCTGTCAAGGCAAGACAGGAGCTCTGTAGCTGACCCAGATTCCCACCCAAGTAACAAAAGGATCTAATCCCATGCTCTGTGGAGAGTGGTTTCTGAACAATAACATTCTCCAGAAAAATGAGTGGAAACCCCCCACTGCTAAGCACATGGCTCAGTTGGAAATGAGGAGGCCTCAGAGGATGAACACAAGTTCCTCTGCCAGCGCAGGTTCCTTATAGCACCTGGCATGATTTAGAAAGAGCCATGATTCCAGATCTTTCGAAAACTAGAAGCCGTCTCATCCCAGGGTAAATTTATCGGTCACTTTACCTCTGTTGATACAGCTCTTCTAGGTCAAGACAGCATAGATGAAATGCCAGCCTCACAATGCTACCTTTCCTGCCTCACTGGAACCCTTTTCATCTTTGGCTGAACTGAACTTTCACCTGTAACTCAGGGAGTTAACAGAGAGTAACAAGGCCACAAGTAATGTGTTGTGGTATGTCTTCACCTTGGACCAATGTGACAAACCTTCATCTATGAATCCATAAAGTTGTAATCTGTAGACTGCTCGGATGTACTTTTGTTTTAACTGGAACCCGAAGTAGGCTGCGGATTCTTTGTGCAGGATCTCTTCCAGTGTGAAACTGGGCACAACATGGTACGTCACTTTTCCAGGCATTCCTGATGACGCCATCTAAACCTGGTTGCCAATGGCCCCTTTTTATTCAGAAACTAAATCTTTTCCTTTTTCATTCTGTCTCTTCTAGAATGCCCCATCTAAGAAAAAGGTACCAGGCCAGGTGCAGTGGCTCATACCTATAATCCTAACACTTAGGGAGGTGGAGGCAGGCAGATCACTTGAGGCCAGGAGGGTTGAGACCAGCCTGGTCAACACGGTGAAACTCCCTCTCTACTAAAAATACAGAAAGTAGCCGGGCATGGTGGTGCATGCCGGTAATTCCAGCTACTGAGGATGAGGCGGGAGAATCACTTGAATCCGGTAGGCAGAGGTTGCAGTGAGCTGAGATCCTGCCACTGCACTCCAGCCTGGGCGATAAAGCAAGGCTCTGTCTCAAAACAAACAAAAAGGAAATGGTGGGCAAACCACAAGCTTCTTGCTGCTGACAAAGCTGGGTGCTGCCCTGGCTGGACAGGCTCTCCTCTGGTTAGGGCCAACCAGGCATTTGGGGATGGTGGGGGCAGCATGTCACTAAAAGGCTCCTTTTCTCGAATGCAACCATGTCTCAAGCATTAGGCACAAGCAATCGATGCAAAACTGTCCTGGAGGCTGCTTTCCGGGCAGTGTGGTGGCTTGAAGTGGGGTGCTGGTGGGCCCTCAGGCTGCTGGGCTGGTGCTTTTAAGTGGCGTGTGGAGGACAGTCTTTCCAAACCTGCTGGGACTGTGGGGACCTAGTTGGGCCCTGGACTGCAGGAAAGCTCTCTTCCTGTGACAGCTGGATTCAACTGAGGTGCCATCATGGGATGAAAAAGCCATTATGGGGCCAGGACATGTCTTGTCCAACCAGCACAGTCCATACTGACCGGCTACATCCATCTCCCTGAGTCACAATTCCTCATCTGGAGAATGGGGACAGTAATGGAATCCACCTCATAGAATCAATCATTCTGAGGATGCAGCGAGATAGATTCAACATATGCAGCACGGGTCTGTGGGCACGTGGTAAGCTTAATAAATGCCTGCGGTTATTTTATTCGTATATTTGTATTGCACTTCACAATGTGCAGAATTCCTGAAGGTGTTAATCTGTACCACATATTAATGACTGACTCGGGAGCACAGTGAGTCTGCATTTGTTGGCTAACCCAACGCCTCCGACTGGAGGCTTCTCTTAAGACAGGTTTTAATTAAACGTTGCATGTAAGATTTGTCTGGAAAGGTTCAGACCCCACTGTGTTGGAAATATTAGTACAAAGGCCTCAACTTGGTAAGCACTGGCTAAATCTGTGTACAGTAAATCCTGCTATGAGCCCACAAGCAGTGTCTGGAACTGACAGTTTTCCCTTTCACCTGAGCAGCAGCTGGGAGGAGCTGAAAGCAGCACCTGGGAAGAGGAGGGCTGGGATGCCAGTGATGGGGAACTGTCACCTGGGGCAGCAGCAGAGGAGAGGGCAAACCACTGCCTCCAGGTGGGACGCAGTCCAGAGCGCAGGCGGCAGCCCTGCCTGCCTGCCTGTAGCGTCTGCCTCCCCATCAGAACCTGGCTTCACTTTCCTATGGAGCTGAAAATGAACCACTGTCACTGGTGTGAATCTTTTCCACCTAAGCCAATTCATTTCACTCCAGCTAGTGGTGAGGCCCACACTGGCCTGCCTGGCAGGACTGGGGCCATCTTACTACTGGTGGCCAGACCTAGACAGCCAAGGAAGCTGTCTGGGTCTGAAAGAGGCCCTTCCTCCCTTCCGTGGTCCAGACAGAGGACAGCAGCTGGCCCACTACACAGACATCCCAGGCCTGACCCCTTGCTGCCAGCCTGTCACACACCCTCTGGTGAACCCAACACAAAGCCCAGACTTCTACAGAGATGGCACCCATCAGCCCTTCATCCTGTGACGGTGTACCTTGTGTCAACTTGACTGGGCTACAGGGTACCTAGATATTTGGTCCAACATTATTTCTGAGTGTGTTCACGAGGGCATTTCTGGATGCGTTAGCATTTGAATCCACTGACTGGGTAAAGCAGAGGCCCTTCCCAGTGTGGTGGGTCTCATCCAATCTGCTTAAAGCCTGAGTAGAATAAGAAGGCTGAGAACAGGGAATTCCTCCTGCCTGCTGGCCCTCAATCTGGGATGTTGGCTTTTTCCTACCTTTGGACTCATGCTGAAACATTGGCTCTTCCTGGGCCTCAAGTCTCCTGGCCTCCAAACTAGAGCCACACCATTGCCTCCCCTGGCTGTCAGGCCTTCAGACTTAGACTGGAACCACATCTTTGGCTCTCCTGGGTCTCCAGCTGACCAACTCACCCTCCAGACCTTGGGACTTGTCAGCTTCCACAACTCCATGAACCAATTCCATCTAATGCACCTCTTTCTACCTATATATACATACACACATATACATCTTGTTGGTTCTATTTCTTTGGAGAACACTACTATGCCCCTATACCTACACTAATAATAGTGCTGTCTTAGCTATTCGGGAGGCTGAGGCAGGAGGATCCTTTGAGGCAAGGAGGTCGAGGCTGCCGGGAGCTATGACTGGGCTACTGCACTCCAGCCTGGGCAAGAGAGGAGAGAGACCCTCTCTTAAAAATTTTTAAAAATA